TACTTGGATGATGCTGCAGTTCTTGGCTTTGGTTATTCAAATAAGCATCATTTCATTCACCTTGGCTATTTCAAAGGAAGAGAGGCCTATTTGGCCTATGAGAATATGGATTGTTGGATATGATATTGGTTGTCTCCTTAGTTTGTTACTTCTTTATAGGAGTTATCATCGTCTTCACCTATCTCAAGCAGATCGTTTTGGCCTTTCCGACATCGAACAACAAAGAACAAATGAAGAATCAAGGTAAGCTTCTTATCACTTGATCCAATCTTGCTGTTATCCTTCATGGTTTCATAACATAATGTAAGGTTTAATGTTGTCAAAATAATGAGTTGATCAATAGAAAATTTGAGACAAACCAAGATTAGGGAAAGTAAAACTTCTTTGTTGTCTATTAATGGAGATTATAGTATGCTCACGAGCTCACATTTGATGAATAGATGCCGGACTTCACTAGAGCTGTTCTTTGCAATATGGTTTGTAATAGGAAATGTCTGGGTGTTCGATTCTCGATTTCGATCCTTCCATCGAGCTCCGAATCTCCACGTACTTTGTATCTCATTGTTAGGTTGGAATGCTCTGAGCTACTCTTTCCCATTCCTGTTGTTCCTACTCCTATGTTGTTGTGTACCACTTATCAGCAGCCTCGTTACAACATGAACATGGGTTCCATTGACAGAGGAGCATCTGATGATCAGATCTCCAGGCTGCCTAGTTGGAGATATAAAGAATTCAACTCCAGCCTAGAGCTCGATCATGATTCGGACTGCAACACAAGCCGGGCAAATGAAGATCTGGTAAGTCATATACATGTACCATAAATCATGCTCAGTTCTAGCTTTTCTTTCATCACAAGGAGTTGTTTCAAAGAAAATTAGGTTAATCTTGCAGGCCAATGAGTCTTTTTCTTTGTTTATTGTGGTTGAATATGAAAAAGGAGTGCTGCATTTGCCTAGCCAATTATAAAGACAAAGAAGAAGTGAGGCAGTTGCCATGTTCCCACATATTTCACCTCAAGTGTGTGGATCAATGGCTCCGAATTACATCTTGCTGTCCTCTCTGCAAACAAGAACTGTACACATAGACAAAGAAACATATAAACAATATTACTTCAAATACAAGTACGTGTCCAACATAGTAATGTTTAATTTTTAATGAGTTTTCTCAGTATACTCTACCATATTCTGAAATGGGTCGGATGTGGACATTCTAAGAAGAACCAAGAGTTGGAGCAACGTAAGAGATCACACCAAAAAAAAAAACTTCTTTTTGGCAATATTTACCGAAGGTTACTTGAGTGAGTTATTTGTACAGTGTTCCTCACCAGTAACCAGAAACTTACTCATGTATCATATATACTCTGGATGAGAACATTGAAACAGAGTTTTACCTCTATTTAATTACATTCAAGATTTGATATCAGCAATTTTATACATATGAAGGGTTAGAAATTGAAGTTCATGCATATTTTTACCCTGTCAACCATGCTAGTTTTTACTTGAACAATCAATAATTATTCTAATACTAAAACACAAAATAATAACAACGGTAGAACTTGCCCCCACTAAATAATAGTAACAATAATATGATTTGTTGTAATAGTATAAATTACTACATGTTATGTAATTTAAGCTTCGTTTGTACTGTGACAAAACTTTTCAAAGCAAAATTTATTCTCCTTGTTAATTTTTTAACGATGACTAATCAAAATAAAATTAAAACTAAACTTAGATATAGTTTCGGAAAAAAAAATAATTGCACAACCAAAATGAGATAAAAGTATAGTTGAATACTAAACATATAGTTTACCTAAAATCTATTTTAAAATTAATTGATTAGCCTTGTCAATTTATGTTAAGATAAATAAATTTAAAATGAGAAAATAACCTCAGTGACCAAAAATCCCAGATAATATACGATTTTGACCAACTTTTTTTGGATTTGCGAAAATGACCAACAAAATCGCAATGCGATCTCTAATTCGCATTGCGATTTTCCATTTCGCATTGCGATAGTCTACAGTTGTCGTTGCGATTTTGATTTTGTTTCTTAAGAATTTTCTCTAAAAAGATAGTATCCGCGCGGACGTGTCAAAGACACGTATTTCCACGTCCACGTCCACGTCCACGTCCACGTCCACGACCACGACCACGACCACGACCCGAGACGGACGGACAGCGGCGGCGGCGCGCGAGAGTCCCCCTTGTTCTCTATCACTCAACAAGGAAGTGGGAAAGCCAAGCCTTAAATACCATTCCCAATAGTGTTTCCAATACTATGTGGGATTTGAGCATTACCAACACTTGTTCCCAATACTATGTGGGATTGAGCCTTAAATAGTGATATTATTTTTGACTGTTTTGCTTAAAATTGCAATAATCGCGATTGATTGTAGATTGACTTTTAATTATGACATATTTAATCGTATAATACTAATGCAATTGGTTGTTGATTCAGTTGTTTTAAGGTGCATGATTGTTAATTGTTTCCTGAATAATCACATTGTATTGAAAACAATTGTTGGTAATGCTCAATCCCACATAGTATTGGAAACACTATTGAGAATGGTATTTAAGGCTTGGCTTTCCCACTTCCTTGTTGAGTGATAGAGAACAAGGGGGACTTTCGCGCGCCGCCGCCGCAGTCCGTCTCGGGTCGGGTCGGGTCGGGGTCGGGGTCGTGGTCGTAGTAATACGTGTCTTCGACACGTCCGCGCGGATACTATCTTTTTAGAGAAAATTCTTAAGAAACAAAATTTTTTTTTTTAACTATCATAACGAATTTGGAAAATCGCAACGATAACTGTAGACTATCGCAACGCGAACTGGAAAATCGCAACGCGAAATGGAAAATCGCAACGACAACTATAGACTTTCGCAACAACAACTGTAGACTATCGCAACGACAACTGTAGACTATCGCAACACGAACTGGAAAATCGCAACGCGAAATGAAAAATCGCAACGCGATTTTCAACTATCGCAACGCGAAATGGAAAATCGCAACGCGGTTTTCAACTATCGCAACGCGATTTTCAATTATCGCAACGCGAAATGCAACGCGAATTTGCGATAGTGGAGATCGCAATGCGAATTAGAGATCGCATTGCGATTTTGTTGGTCATTTTCGCAAATCCAAAAAAAGTTGTTCAAAATCGTATATTATCTGGGATTTTTGGTCACTGAGGTTATTTTCTCATTTTAAATTTATTTATTTTTATTCAAACCTTTAATATGTATGAGTGTAAATGAACATAGCGATCGGTGAACTGTTCGTGAATCATTCATTTATGTTCGTTTGTTAAGCTAAATAAACGAGTATGGACAAAATTTTTTATGTTTACCTAATAAATGAACGAACGCAATCAGAGATGTGTTCGATTCGTTTATGTTCATGAACGAGCTCGTTTAAAGCTTGTTTATGAGCTCATTTATAAGTTCGTTTATCGACTTGTTTATTTATGTTCATGAACAAGCTCCTTTATCCAGTTTTTCTTTTATTTTTTTACATTTTAAATATTGATGATGGTTGTGACTAAATTGAACACATGATAACAATTGAAATTTAAATTGTGAATTTTAAAGAATTTAAGCACTAATGGCGTAATTTTACCATTTTCTTTAGTTTGAAAGGGAAAAACTAAAAATTGAACATATAAACAAACGCTAAACAAACACTAAACAAATATTAAACGAACATGTTTGTGAACGTTAAATGAACATGTTCGTAGAGATGGAAAACGGACGGGACGAGTGATGATACCTCTTCTCTCATCCCTATACCCACTTAATATTTTCGTATCTACCATCTGCCCACCAGCCACGATGGGTAAAATATTTAAATCCACTCCTGCCCACGCGGATACATTCTCAAATTCATCCCCACACCCACCACCTAACTGGATACTCACCACCCATTATGTGACCGTTTATATCCACCCATACCCACTAATTTGATATAGAAAAAACGATATTATACCTTAACATTTGGTTAAATTACATGTTATGTCCAATAAAATCTTAAGATTTACAAAATAATCTCTAAAATCTTACCTAAATTCATAATGGTCTAAAATTTATATGGTGGGTAGTTAGTGGGCAAGCAGATCTGGGACGAGCGTTACAGTGCGGGTGGATGTGGGACGGATAATGTCTCAAACCCATCACCTACTCAATACCCACTAAATTTATACCAATCCATGCCCTAATTGGAGTGCGTATGGTGCGAAATCCACGAAATAGTACATGTTTGTAATCTCTACATGTTCGCGAACATATAAACGAGCTCGTTCACGAACATTAAGCGAATATGTTCGCGAACAATAAATAAACGAATACGAACACCTTCAAAAATAAATAAACGAATACGATACTAAAAATTTAAACGAACATGAACACCTTCAAAAATAAATAAACAAATATAATACTAAAAATTTAAACGAACATGAATCGAGCATAAATATTTTAAAAAATAAGTAAACGAACACGAATATAAACTTACACTCCCTATAATTATGTTCTTTGTTTACTTTCAAAAGAATATATATATATATATATAATATTTTATATTTTAATATTAATTAAGATTAAAACTATGATATAACATAAATTTGATTGATTTTACATTTTTTTATTAAATATGAAAAAAAATATTTTGATATGAAAAAAATTAAAATTGAATCTGACTAATTAAATTACAAATTACCATGATACCGATAAAGAATTCATTGGTGAATCAATAATACAATACGGCGCCGTAGTAGGTTCCCTTGTCCTGACGAGTGATGAAGCTGCTCTTGTCAAACGAAAAAAGCAACCTCCCTATCAAAGTATCAGCATCAGTTGCCACGTATTGTCAAATTTTGGTAAGTATCTATTTTTTATTTTATTTTATTTATATATACATTTTTATTTTCAATTAATTAATTAAAAATATTCTAATTTTTTTCCATGTCTGCGTATATATAAATCATTAAAATCTCCAGCTCACTCAATCGCCATCTCTATTTTAAGTCACTGCTGGTTTCACAGATTTCCCACTATACCCATTCACTCTCCCCAAGAAGAGGTAATAATTAACATATTTTTGGTTTCATAAATTCGTTTATTCCCTCTGTTTGTTTTTCGAGAAATTTGAGAAGAACGTATTTTGAAATCTTTGTTAGCTGAAAGAAAATAGTTTAATTTATAATTTTCCATGCTTTCGGTAGATCTTGATCAGGTTTGGTTAGATTGGATCCTGGTCATGTTCAATTTGTTATGAAGGCGTGATTTTTTAGGTTTGAATTGGGCTTCTTGATATATTTTTTTCTTTTCTTTATTGGAATCATCTGTTCGATATATATGCATATCTTTCCAAGTTCTAACTGTTGCAATTTCTTGAGAAAAATAAATCTTACTGATTTGTGATCAACCTGGACGTATGCGAAATTATTTAATTGTATGATTATTCTTATTTTTTCTCTCGTGTTCTGTATTTCTTGGTTTTTGAATTTGCTGTATGCATTGTCTGATTGTATTGATTATATGTAATGAGTGAAAAAGGGAGCATTACATAATTTTCCTCGGATATTTCATGGTTTCATTTGTGCAACAGATATTGTTTTGAGTTTGAGGACGCTAAGCACACTGATTTTCACAAATCAGGCTCGGACTTTTCGGTTTGAAGCATACAGATTTTGGTTGAAATCTTGGTTTCATGTTGCAGTGCTTAGACGGATTGAAGCATTTATTTGCTTCTGTATTACACTGTTGTGATATTGATTTGTACAAGCAACCCAAAGGTCTCGGGGATCCTGAACTTCTCGCAAGGGAGACAGTTTGTATGTTGTCAATTTTCATTTTCTTTTCTTTTTAGGTTATACTGTTAAGCTTTTACTCTATTGTTAGAATTTTAGCGTCTATGCTTTTCCATAATTTAACTTCTTCTTCGGATTTTGCCTATATTATTTTGGTAATTCATTTTACTGGAATTTGTTGTTTTGCTCACCCTGATGCAGTTAGTGTAAGTGAAATAGAAGCACTTTATGAACTCTTCAAGAAGATAAGCAGTGAGGTGATAGATGATGGGCTGATTAACAAGGTTTCTTTAATTACCTTTTTTGTACATTTTATTGTGAATCAATGCATTTTGTTATGTTTGTCGAGTTTTTGAACTTGGATGGTCCTTTTAGTATTTGCTTTTGTTTATATTCTATTTGGCAGGAGGAGTTTCAACTGGCCTTATTCAAAACAAACAAAAAGGAGAGCTTGTTTGCTGATCGGGTAATTTTTTTATTTCATGTTAGTTATTATTTTCTTTTCATTATTGAGAAAAGAATTCTTGTCAATCTCATCATGCCAGTTATTCGTAGTATTTTAGCACAAATTATTAGCTTCTTGTCTTGAGCTACATTCGACGTATTTCTGATTTCACTGCAGGTGTTTGACTTGTTTGATACAAAGCACAATGGAATTCTAGGTTTTGAAGAGTTTGCTCGTGCTCTTTCTGTCTTCCATCCAAATGCTCCTATTGACGATAAGATTGAGTGTATGTGCACAATATTTTAAGTTGTCTGCAACAAGTCCTCTATTTGCCTATTTGGCCATCACACTAATCGTTTTAACTTGTTGGTTGTATCTAGATAACTAGAAATAAAATTATGAACTTAAGCATGTCAGCTTGCAGTAACTAGGTGCTTTGTCTTCTCTCAATTATTATATTTTTTCATATGCAGTCTCTTTTCAACTATACGATCTCAAGCAGCAAGGTTACATTGAGAGACAGGAGGTGCGTGCTGTGATTTTGATTTGATCATTTTTGTTTGTTGTTTTCTTTTTCTCTATTTGTCTCTTTATATATATTTTTCATTTATAGGTTAAGCAAATGGTAGTGGCTACACTTGCCGAGTCTGGCATGAACCTTTCAGATGATGTTATAGAAAGTATAATTGACAAGGTAATAACTCAATCTAATTTAACTGAAGTTGTATTTCTTGTAATTTTTTTTCTTCTGTCTAGTTTCTACATGTTAAGTTTCGGATCCTTTTGACAGACTTTTGAGGAAGCTGATACAAAACATGATGGGAGGATTGATAAGGAAGAGTGGCGAAGTCTAGTTTTGCGACATCCATCCCTTCTGAAAAATATGACCCTGCAATACCTCAAGTAAGTTCCAAATATACTCTGTAGTGAGCGAAGTTATCAGCTGTGTTATCGTAAGACTTACGGAAAGTGATGTGTGCTCAACTTCAACTGTTATTTGATTGTTTCGTTGAACAGAGATATCACCACGACATTCCCGAGCTTTGTTTTCCACTCACAAGTCGATGATACCTGAAATCAGCAATTGGGATAAAGCTTTCATTTGGACTTATTTCATACGAGGCTTTGGTGGCAGATTCAAATATATGAATTGGAGAAGAGTGAGTCTCTGTGATGTTCTGGTTCATTGGTTAATTTTTTTTTCTTCTTCTTGTGTGCATCCATATTCAACCATTGAATATTCTGTTGGTTCTTCTTCTTAGTGATTTTGGTTAATTCCAGATGGTCTTAATGTAAAAAAGAATTGTGGGGCCATTTGAAAAGAATTTTTCAATTTCTATTCTGGAAATGGAAATCTTTGTTTGAGAATGTAAAAGTTGAATAAGGCAAATAAACAAATCAGTAGTAGTTTTAGTGAGATATCAAAATTGGTGGTTCTGATAAGTAACATTTTGAGGTTTTATTATGTTTCCAAAAAATTATGAGCTCGACTTTGGTCTTTTCCAAATATGAGCTCGATTTTGGATATATCTAGAATCGATCTTCTAATTTGCCAACCGGGAGCAGTTTCATGGTTTTTGTTGAATAGATCCATTGATTTAGCGGTATGTCTATTAGCCATGTACTCATAAACTAAAAGCCTATTGGATTTTTCAGTTAAAATCCGATCAAGCTTTCCAGATTGAAATAATGAATGCTCCCAATTGTCTAAACTCCAGTCATGAAGAACTTGTTAACCAAACCAAAGCCGACGAAATGCTTCACCACAACTTCAGAACCTGAATGTAAGTTTCCATGAAAAACAGACCCGAATCCATCTTCACCGAGCTTGATGCTAGAACTCTTTGTAACATTCTTCAACTATTCTCAAGAGAATCTAGTTGGCATTCCCCGGATGCTGTCTGGATAATCTTCCTCAACTTCTTGAAACCCTTTTCTAAATCCGAGGGGGGAAAAAGAAAGCGCAGATCAGGAACTCAGAAAACATAGCCCCGAGAGTTGAGCCCACAATAGTAGCGTATACTGAATAATCATTTGCTTGCGAGTGAAAACGTCTACAATAGAATTGGGAAGGATCTGAACCCATATAGACAGCGGATTCACCATCACCGTTATTTGCAAATGCATACATACCTTCTCTCGATTCATGTAGCAATCTACTGGCTCTCAGTTTCTGCCATGACACTAACCTTCGGCCACGGACTGAAATGTCTGTCAGCTGGTCGAATGACTGCCGAACAATGTGGTTGGTTTTTCAAGTGGCAAGAGGTTTCCCTCCGTGCTCAAGGTTAACCTCGATACGGACTTGCCTGTAGACCAAACCCAAGTATTGTTAGCATCTTTCAAGACAAATTTACCTTCAGAAGTGAGCTCCAACAGTGCCTGACCCTCGACTGGATTGTTCCTACGTACGAGAGGACCATACCAGTTGGGGTCGGGGAGATATCATACCCTAATTGATCACTACAGCTGGTGTTGAAGATGGAGACAGCTAGTAGGCAATTTTCAGCGTTACTGTCTGTGCAAAGTTAGATGAGGGAGCGTTTCGCCACGAATTCGGGCCAATCACAAACGATGGATAGGGTATGGTTTTAGCGTCATCCAAATTTGACGAGGGAATGATTAGTAAAATCAAATGCGAGCTCATTATAAAGTTGCTACAGGCATTCATGATCACAGTTCCTCTAAAGAGGCAATAGCTTTCCGTGGAGGAGTAAATTAGCTGCAACAATGGCGTCAAGCTTGACCGAACTTAAACTGCAAACTTCTCTTGATGGCAAAGATGATAATTTACTAAAATTTAGCAACTACTCCAGGCAGTTCACCTTATTAAAACTTGATTGCCAATAACAAAAGCACAATGAGCATTATGAAGAACTAAGAATCTATAATATTCCAAAATATAAGAACATTCAAAGTTCTACAGAATTCCCATGAAACATTAGAGCCAAAAGATGTTATCAGAATAAAATAAAACCATAACATTTTATAATATTAGTCGACTTCCTCCATCTTGGAGCCCTCGGCATCAACATAATCCAATGGAGGCATCTCAGAATCAACCTCAGCATCCCCTGCATCCTCATCAATGCTCAACCCGAGCTTCAACATCCTATGGATTCTGTTTCCAAAGGTGTTCAGGTCATCGAGACTGAACCCAAATGTGAGGAGAGCAGTCCCAAAGAGCAGAAGAACAAGGTCTTTCACAGACTTGTCGTTCTTATAAGTATCAGCTCTCTTTCTCAGCTCTTCCATGATTGGGTTCTCAGGATTGATCTCCATTGTCATGTTGCTCGACATATATCCAGCCATACTGTCATCTCTCAAAGCTTGGGCTTTCATAATTCTCTCCATGTTGGCAGTCCAACCGTGCTCACCTGTTACCAAACAGCTAATGAATAAAGAAATGCAATCCCTTCAAAAGAATCAGACGTATAAAACTAACAGAGTTATACACATAGTAATTGGATCTGTCCAATATATATATATATATATATATATATATATATTCCCATCATTTTTTTCTTTCTAGATATATTACAAAATGGAAGAAAAAAAGAATATTTAATTGATTTCCTAATTTCTTTCTTTCTAGATATATTACACAGTGGAAAATTAATTTCATGTTATTGCTTTAGTTAGACTAAATAAAGATACGCAAAGCACATTTTTAGGATCATTGGATAAGAGAAATTAAATGTTGAAATGAAATCCCTTCAAAAGTTTAGAACATAAAAAGTGGAGGATCACCATGAATGAAGAAATACAATCCCTTCAAAAGAATCAGACGTGGAAACTAACTAGTCTTCCGAAGGGAAAGAAGACAATTAGGTGCAAGTGGGTATATGCAAAGAAAGATGGATTTCCTGACAAGAATAACATCCGCTACAAAGCAAGATTGGTGGTTAAAGGCTACGCTCAAACGGAGGGAGTTGATTATAATGAAGTATTTTCTCCAGTTGTAAAACATTCCTCCATCAAAATTTAGTTTTTACTCAAAATTTGGTTTTAATCTTCAATGTTCTTTGACATTTACCCACTTAATTTACATTCCTTTCATTTTAATCCCTTAATTAATTTTTTTATATATATATACATACTTGCTAATTTTATTTTTAATTTATCACTTTTTTAATTTTTCTCTATTTATATACGTTATTACCCATATATATATATTTATTTTCTTTGCATTTTTATTATTACTATTATATTTATTATTATTTTTACTATTATATTTCCTTTATTCTACTTATTTATATTATATATGTATATTTTTTATTTATATTATTATATTTTTTACTTTCTCTTTCTTTTATTATTCTTGTATTATTACTTGTATTATTTTATATTATTTATTTTGTTATATATATATATATATATGCATATGTTCTTTTTAAATATTTTAGTTTTTATACCTATTATTAATATATATTTGGTTTTTTTTATTTTAAGTGTTATATTTTATAATATTATACATATATTTTTCTATTAATTTTCTATATTTTTTATTATCATTATATTATATTTATTTTCTTTTTTTATTGATATTATTGTTGTTATATATACATTTTACTATTATTATATATATATATATATATATATTCTACACAAGTTAATTATATCTACCTACTTTGTCCCCACCCTCATCATTTTTTCTTCCTGTCAATTATACTTCACCAAACCTTACTTTCTTTTCTTCCCTTTTCGGTGTGATTGTTTTTTTAACTACTTATTATCATTATTAGTATTGTTACTATATATATATATATATATTGTAATTATCTTTATTTGTTTTTTTACCATTATATGCGTATATGTTCTTTTCGTCATTTAATTTATTAATTTATATATATTTAGTTTTTTTATTTATTATATATATATATATATTATTCGTACTTTGTTATTATTATTATTTTTTATTTATTTTCTTTTTAATTTTCTTTTTTATATATATTTTATTATTTGTTTTTTTACTTATTATTTTATCTTTGCTTTCTTCATTTTATCATTTTACTTAATTTGTTTTCTTTTCATTTTAATTTAATTAATTAATTTCTTACCATTTTATCTAACATGGCTTTTTTACTTTCTTAAGGGTACATTTTCAATCAATCAAATGTAAGTTTTGGATCGTTATTTTACCTTTCAATTTAAACTTTCAACTTTCTTAATTAAAGACAACTGAAAATTACATAGTACCGAAAGGGCGGTTCAAGGGTGCTAATCCTTCCTTGACCGTAACCGACTCCCGGATCCGACATATCACTGGTAAGACGCAGATCAGGTAAGAAATAAGGTATTCGATAACCCACTTTTCGTAAAGTAAATGATCGGTGGCGACTCCCAATCTATTTTTCACGTCGAAGCCCAATTCCGGAGCACAACCGAAAGACGGTTACGACAGCTTGACGACTCCACTGGGGACACAGGTAAGTGAGTCAGGCTAAGGTAATTTCCAGTTGTCTTTTTAATGAAAAGGGTAAGTTTAAATTTTAAGATAACATTTTGATCCTTATTACTTACTTTTGATTATATTTTCGAGTAAATAGTTGTACTGATCGTTTTTTAATGATTTCAACCCTTAAGGATTTTTCATCCAAAGGCTCTATACCCGAGCTCCGAACCCGTTTTAAGTGGGGGTGAAAGCGACGCCTTCGTGTGAATTTATTCATCGTATGGGCCTAGCAAGTAACCTTCGGGATTCATATACCTTATGTCTTCGTGTGAATTTATTCTCCGTATGGGCGTAAGGGAATGTTTCCTCTCGAGTTTAACTTAGTCCACACAAGCCTGTGATGGGTTTAGGACTAAGGGTCTGGTAAGCCCAAGGGGGCACCGGCAAGGAGAACTCGAGTACCTTTTTTTTAGAACCTAAACCCGGAGACTATAAGGAGTTAGGGCCTACCCCAAAACCTCGTTTTAAACCCTAAGATGCCTAAATTATTTTCTGCTTTACTTTCTGTTCAAAACATGTGAACTAGAAATTTATGCGGTTAAGACTTGTTCAAAATCAACTTGCGGGATAGAGATCATGTCCGGGTAGAAATAATAAGCATGTGGGGTAGATATCATGTGGGGTAGGACTTTTATTTTCATGATTGCTTTGATTATTATCTTTACCTTACTAACTCTTTTCATTTTTTTTCCTCTCTTTTATTTTATTTCCATCATCTGCATCATTCAAAAGAGGTGTTGATCCACCAAAAAAATGTGTTCGTTAACCATAAATAATCTGCATTAATGGACAAAGGTGTTGTAATACAGGAGATTAAAAACCCCGAGGTACGACTATGGTCCGAGAAGACTCAGAAAGAAAAAGGAGACAATCTTCAAGGAAGTTATGTGTCAGAGCTTGTTAGCTATGCCTCTATCAGCCTAAAATAGAACAATGTGCAAGAACTTCGAGACATCTGTGACAGTTGGAAGAATGATCGAAAAAAGAAGTTCAGTCAGCGGTATGGTGACATTGCACTTTTGCTTCATGTTAAGACCGGTGAGCCCTTAATCAGAGCCTTGGTTTAATTCTGGAACCCGTGATACATTTGCTTCACTTTTAACCAAGAGGACATGGTACCTACCATCGAGGAGTATACTACACTATTGCACTGTGAAAGCATTAAAACTGGAGCGAGCCTACATCAAACACATCAAGAGTCAGCCTTTCAAGAATAGACTGGCCAAGATTGCAGGGGTTGATGAAAAGTGGGTGACTGACCGACTCCGAAACAAAGGTAACGGGCAAGGAATTGAGTGGATCCACATAAGGAAACTAATGAATGACCACCCTGATGAATGGAAGACTATAGACCTTTTTTGCACTAGGTCTGTATGGCTTGATCATCTTTCCGAAGATTTTGGGATGCATTGACGCAGTCGTGGTGGAACTGATTGAGCAACTTCCGAAACGAGTCAACCCAACACTAACCATCTTAGCCAAGACCATTCGGTCTCTCAACCATTTCCGAAGAGCTGGCGGATGTAGATTCATTGGATGTGTTCAGCTCCTTCAAGTCTGGATTCACAGCCACTTCTGAAAAACTAATAGGGTTGCCTACCGCCGATTTAGCACTACGTATTCACATTTGAGAGAGTTCATCACCATGAAATGGCTTGAAGGCGCTTCGAAGGAAAAATGGATGAATGTCTTCACACATCTTTAGGACCGGGATATTACTTGGAGAGCCCCCTGGTTGTTCCTCAGTGACGTTCTTTTCCGATTTGGGGATTTTGACACTATGTCCTTACTTGGACTTTGGGGTGTAGTTGGGTATGCTTCGTTGTTGACACTTAGATAGTATGGGGCACGTCAGTTTGTCCCAACAACATACAGATTATCTACATCAGAGTTTGTGTATCACGGTGATAGTTATAAGAAGAAGATCAAATAGATAGTCGAGTCATGGAAGAAAGTATCCTGGATAGGTGTTGTGGCTGCTAGAGATATGCTCACTCTGGATTATGTGGAATGACGAAGATTGAGAAATAATGATAACATCCCGGTGCCAGACTGTGAGGATACACGAACCATGAAGGAGCATCTCAGGCATGTCCCTTCTGAACTTGAGATAGCTAAGGCGGAGTTTGAAGCTGTGAAAAATGAGTTAAAGCAGAAGGTCAGAGAACTTGAAGTCGAGCGCTATCAGTGGAAGTTAGATGCCGACTCTCAGAAAGATCGAGCAGATAAACTGGAAAGAGAGAAGAAAAGAGACCGTTTTGAGCTCGAAGATTTGAGAAAGGGGTATCAAGATGCTGTCAAGGATAACTCCAAGTTGAAAGTGTCCTCTGAGTACTGGAAAGATGAAGCCCATAGCCTGAAAAGAAAATTCGAGGGGACTGATGAGAGAACTTGGAAGGAACAGATGAAGAATGCCGAAAGGCGCTTAGTAGACAGTCAGCATCAAAACCTACGACTGAGAATCCAAATGGCTGATCTGGAGAAACAACATGAGAGAGATGGTAAAACAATAGCTGAGTTAGAAGCTATTGTAGATGGATTCAAAAAGAAAGCGAGCGAGCTTCAGATAATGCCCTTCGACGGGGGTTTGCAGTGGCATTTCTGTTGGGAGCAAGCACAACAAAGGGTGAAGGCCAGAGACGCAGTCATCCAAGACTTCCTGGATCAAGTACAGAAGGCAGCTCACCATCTACATGGCCTGACAAGGGAAGCTGGAGTGGTTCGACAAGGCTTACTACCAGTGACAGATGAAAACAGAAGACTTGTCAACCTGCTGGAAGTTGTTCGGGGTCTAGAGGATTATCCGAATGTACCTTTGATTATTTTTATGTCTCTTACAAGATAAAACATTTTTGTCAAAATAAGGATTATTTATAATAATGGACATTTTTCTGGATAAATGCCTCGAACATTTCATGCATTTTTTTTCATTTTGCGTTTTGCATCTACATTTCATTTTTTTTTTCATAAACATGAAATTTCTTCATGGAGGATTCGATGAAGT